TCTTCTCACCGAGCACGACGCTCCAAACACTGACGCTGGAGAACCACATCCCCGAATTCGCGTTCAACGACGACTGGTGCTTTCACCGACCGCCGTCGTCGCTGCACTTGCCGCCGCTCCACGCGTACGAGGTCGACGCGGCCACCGTCGATGTTCGCGAAGACGACGACGACCCGGTCAAGCTCTCGGCGGTCGAGCACATGGACATTCTGTCTCTTTTGAACCCGACGACGTCGGCGCGGCACCCGGACTGCGAAGTCGTTGCCAACACGATGCCCAGCCGCGTCGCGTCCATCTGCTTTGAACATCGACGCTTGCATGCAAGCGACGGCGAGTACGTGCAGCACTCGCACACGATCAACGGGCTCGCGGTATCGCCTTTCGGCGACTTTGTCATTTCGGTCGCGTCCGACCGCGCGATCAAGGTACGCTTCGTGGACCTCCCGCGCGATGAGTCATCCGCCAGCTATAGCGCTGGCACGCCAAGACGGGAGAGCACGAGGCGACGACGCGTGATGCGCACTCGCACCCGATCTTGTGCTGCGCGCTCGCCGCGCACCCGTATGACGGCAGCGTCCTGTTTCTCGCGACTGGCAGCGCCGACGCCAGTGTGAAGCTCTGGAACGCATTTGACATGTCGGTTTTGTACACGCTTCTTGGGCACTACGACTCGGTCGTGTCGCTGACGTTTACGCCGTCGCGGCACGCCTTGTACTCGTCGTCGCTCGAGTCGCGCGTCATCAAGTGGCAAATCGTTCCCACCGGTACTTTCTTCTCTCAAAACGACGGGATGGAAAACCACGGAATGCGTAGTGCCCGACGCACCGCGACCGCCGACGATCGTCGCCGTGCACTGCCATGCGATCGAGATTGCTTGGCTCGAGCCACTTGTACAATCTATCAAGTGGATACGACTCTATGAGCCTCGGACTAGGGCAACGGGGCACCGATTGTGCAGTATGAGATACGCACGTCCCGTGACGATGGTCCGTTTGAAGCACCGATGCAAGTGTCAGTCGATACGACGGTCCGTTGCATGGACGCCTTGGATCCGGGCACCGTCTATGCGTTCAAGGTCGCGGCGCGTAATCATGTCAGTCGTGACTGGACCCGATTGATATCGGATTGACTGATGCGTAGGTGGGGCTCGGTGCCTTTAGCGAGAGCTCACCGCCGGTCGAGACTCTGGCATTTCGTGCGGCACCCCGATGCGTCCCATTTACGATGTCTGATGGCGAAGGTAGGTCCGTCCAAGGTCCAGAAACCGTGCGCCATTCGCAGCGTCGCCACGCACAGCGTCGTGCTCGAATGGCTGCCGCCGCAGGCCAACGGAACGCCGATCTCTCACTACCATTTTCGCTGCGTACCAGAGAACACGCTCGGCAACGACGATGTCATTAGCGTTGTCATCCCCGAGGATGCGATTGCGGGCCAGAGCCGCGCCGCCAAAGAAGCCGCCGAAGCCGGTGCGAAATGCTTTCTTGAGCTGCACGCATCACGCACGGATAGCCTTTGTGCGCAAGCTCGAAGAGCGGGCCGAGCGCGATGCCGAGCGCGCCAAGCGCCTCAACTCGAAAAAAGCGCTCGAAAAGAGCGTGAAATTGCAGCTCCAAGCGCGTGCGCGTCTCGAGAAGCAGCGTCGGCAGGTGCACGTGCCTTCTTGTCATCCACCGCATTCAACGTGTAGTTTTATAGGAAGAGAAAGCGGTGCCCACGGCGCTGCTCAAGTACACGCTCACGTGCGTCTTGCCCGGCACGATCTACCAGTTCCAGCTCGCGGCCGCAAACCGGTGCGCCTGTGAACCAGATAGTGGATCCCCCATTCGAGTCTAGTTGCGGTGTCGCCGACTTTTCGATTCCGTCCATGTATATCAAAACCGAGTCGTGCGGTACATGCACCCGACACTTCGATTCGTGCTTCTAGTGTGGTCGTTAGAGCCCAATGCACCAGACCAGCCGACGCTGTCGCACATTACGCCGACGACGGTCCAGCTCCATTGGCAGCCGCCGCGCGCCAACGGCAGCGCCGTCGTTCAGTACACACTGGAGTGGCGCCAGGACGGCGACACGACGAGCCTTGATGTGCTTGCTCGGACACTGGCGACGCCCCAGTATACTCTGAGTCCGCTCCACCCCGGCAAGGTTTGACGACTTGCGGTTTTTTTCGTGGCGGCAGATGGCATGTAGGACGTGTGCGCTCGTTTGCGCGCGTCCAACGTCATCGATAAGAAGGTGCGCACGTCCGAGTGGTCGCCGTGGTCGGAGACGGTCACGACGCTCCCGACGACACCCAGTGCCGTCGCCCAACCCCTTTTACAGCACCCGACATCGCACTCGATGCAACTAGCGTTCTCGTCGCCGTGTGCCAACGGGTGTGCGAATCGTTTGGGCATGGTTGTGGACAAGTTGTCTTCTTTGTAGGCGACCGATTGTGGCCTACCACGCGACACTCTGCGCGCAAGAGACGGCCTTTGGCGTCGTCTCGCACCGCGTGGTGCGTTCATATATCTGGCGCGATACAAAGGCTTTCGACATCGAATTGATCGAGCTCGACGCGGCAACAACCCACGTTGTGCGCATCGCAGCCGAGAACGCGCTCGGTCTCGGCGACTACAGCGTCTGGAGCATGCCGTTGCGGACCAAGACGGCGGTCGTTCCGGCGCCCGTGCCCGAAGTCGCTCGCCACCTTGCATTTTAAAGTCTTCAACAGCTCTTCTGTGGTAGGCGCCGACCCTCGACGAGGTGCAGCCCACGTGTGCGCGGCTGCATTGGCGAGCGCCGGTGCACAATGGCGGCTCCCCACTTGTCGGCTACGTCGTCGAGTATGCGATTGATGGCAAGGAGTGCATCTCCCTGCGCGTGCCCCGCTTACATCTCGACTTGCGCCTCGACTTTCTCAAGCCCAAGACAAATTACGTCTTCCGCGTTGCCGCTATCAACGGTGCTGGGACCGGTCCGTTCTCAATCGACTCGACGCCGCTCGTGACGCCCAGCCTCGTCGAGCACACTCTGCGCGTCTACTTTGCCAACCGACCGGACGAGGAGCATGATGCCTCCCGGCGTATCCAGGTACTACTAACGTGCCGCGTGGATGGCGTCGTCGTAAGCGTTGCGTAGCGCTGCTATCGGGCGGCGTCGGCGCGCCATGTTGCCAAGCAAGCCCATGCAGCGTACCTCTCGGCGTGGCTACGGTCCTGGAACCTCTTGTAGCACTTGGCTCAAGAAAATACATTTTCTGGTGTTCGTGATGCAAGTGGTTGGGCAAAAGGCAGAGAGCATATACTGTGGACAAAGTTGGGCGAAGGGCATATCATGTACTAGTAGAAAGGATGGAGAAGACGAGGTATCTGAGAAGAGGGTAGTTGGGGTCCTCCCAGAGGGAGGTCAGAAATTAGTGAAGCCGCATTGTTCGTAAGACGTCCACGGTAATCTTTAGTAAAAGGCGAAAGATTAGTACGAGCGCGGAGCTCGACGCACTCAACTAGCAAGATAGCGACACTCGTCCACCGTCCACTCTTCTCCACCGACGAGCCTTCTCAACATCAGCCATGCATCCAACAGTGTCCAAAACCTAGCCAACGACTTCCATCTGCCCACGAGTTCAAGTGAGCACCCCCCGTGTACCTTCGGGTGCTGCAGCTCCAGGTCGGTCGCATCCAAGTGGAGCTCCGCAACACGGGTCTGGCTCACGGCCGCGAAAGCGCCGACGTGGCCCCGCGGTGCATCGATTGGTCCCCCCAACTCGAGATCTGCTGAGGCTTGACCGTGCGGGAGTAGTGGGAAGAAATCAAGAGCAACCGGTCGCTCAAGTAGCTTGGCAACGGACCACATTCACGACGAAACCCAAAGGGTAATTTCGGTAATATACCGCCTGACATGAGAATTTGATCCTGTATAAGTACGGTCTTACTTCCATTAAACCGTAAATTGTCAATTGCTACGTTTGCAAGAGTACGCGTTCCTCATGTAGAAGCATGCATAATGCAAAACACAACAAATCAAATGCTTTCATTTCTGCATGGCGCTTAACAATCCGCATAAAACCAGGTGTTTCCGCATAATACCGGATGGTTTTGCAAGAGGTAGCGTACATTTACGGTAAATTTGATTTCCGCTGCGTGATTTTAAGAAATAACACCATATGCAATCTTTTGGCATACACTATATCATGCAGTCGGTATAGTGTGCGCACTGATTCCGGTAATGCCCTGCAAATCCAGGATTCTCTAGGACCAAGGTTCGAAATGTAGGTTCGTAAATAGGCCTTTCGACAAGAAAATGTCGGGTTGTGTTTGTTGCCCCGATGGTGCTGCTGCGCAGAGGACTTGGTCGCGACCGAGTGTCGCACGCTGCCAGCTCGTCGGCTTTTTAACGCGACCTGCCGACGTTAAATCGCTCGTTGCTGCCGAGACGACTTGCTTTCCCCACCCAGTAATGCAGTTCTTAGTGCAGCTCTCAATATTAATACACGGTACAACGTGTAGCAGATTAATGTGCACCAGAAATGTGACTTAATTTTCATACAGTGGACGTTGCATGCTCGCGGTGGCAAGGCCACACCGTTGGGCGAACCCAGTGGGGCGAACAGCTCTCGGTGCATTCCAGCAGCAAACTGGTCGATATCGGCACCCTAGGATCTGCCACGCCGGCGTGTGATTGGCTCCTTCACAGGTACGTCTTGCGTTTCATTGGCTGATCCAGCTTCAAGTCAAGGCCGCGGTGGGCGGCGTCGGACCCTCGCTGCCTCGCGGCCACAGCCACCGACGACGGCCATGACGCGGTGGCACGCCAT